TGGATCGAGAACTCCCAGAAGTACAAGCTGGATTCCAAAGAGGCAGAGGAACTAGAGACCAAATTGCTAACATGTGCTGGATTATGCAGAAAGCCAAAGAGTTCCAGAAAAACATCTACTTCTGCTTCATTGACTACGCAAAAGTTTTTGACTGTGTGGACCACAACAAACTATGCCAAGTCCTTAAAGAAATAGGAGTGCCTGACCACCTTATCTGTCTCCTGAGAAACCTATATGTGGGACAGGAAGCAACATTTAGAACTGGATATGTAACAACTGATTGGTTCAAAATTGGAAAAGGAGTACGACAAGGCTGTATATTGTCTCCCTGCTTATTTAACTTATATGCAGAATATGTCATGCAAAAGGCTGGACTGGAGGAATCCCAAGCCAGAATTAAGATTGCTGGAAGAAATACTAACAACCTTCAATATGCAGATGATACACTCTGATGGCAGAAAGTAAGGGGGAATTAAAGAACCTCTTAAAGAGGGTGAAAGAGGAGAGTGCAAAAAACAGTCTGAAGCTCAACATAAAAAAACTAAGATCATGGCCACTGGTCCCATCACCTCCTGGCAAATAGAAGGGGAAGATATGGAGGCTGTGACAGAGTTTACCTTCTTGAGCTCCACGATCACTGCAGATGGTAACAGCAGCCACGAAACTGAAAGACGTCTGCTTCTTGGGAGGAAAGCAATGACAAGCTTTGACAGCATCTTAAAAAGCAGAGACACATTGCAAACAAATGTATAGTCAAAGCTATGGTTTTTCCAGTAGCGATGTATGGAAATGAGAGCTGGACCATAAAGGCTGACCACCGCAGAAGTGATGCTTTAATTGTGGTGCTAGAGGAGGCTTTTGAGAATCCCCTGGACTGCAAGGAGAACAAATCTATCCATTCTAAAGGAAATCTAATCTGAGTGCTCACTGGAAGGACAGATCCTGAAGGTGAGGCTCCAATACTTTAGCCATCTCATGAGAAGAGAAGACTTCCTGGAAAAGACCCTGATGTTGGGAAAGTGTGAGGGGAAGAGGAGAAGGGGACAACAGAGGACGAGATGGTTGGACACGGTCACCGAAGCAACCAACATGAATTTGGCCCAGCTCCGGGAGGCAGTGGAAGACAGGAGGGCCTGGTGTGCTCTGGTCCATGGGGTCACGAAGAGTCGGACATGACTTAACAACTAAACAACAAAAAAATTCTACCCATTTCTTCTGGTTAGTTTCCAATTTAAAATCAGCCTCCCAAACTGCTCTTCCACCCTCTTTTGGAGTCTTTATTTTCTCATGCAGATAAAAACAAGAAACTAGTTTGGGTAGGGTAGTTTAAAGTCAAGGATAGCCTAAGATATTATTCTACCTGATGTGAGAGACAAGAAAGAGGATCAACAGAAGCTGATACTGGAGAGGGGTAGGCATCCTTCACCTGGGTTCGTTCATTCATTCATTCATTCATTCATTCATTCATTCATTCATTCATTCATTCATTCATTCATTCTTTCTTTCTTTCTTTCTTTCTTTCTTTCTTTCTTTCTTTCTTTCTTTCTGTCTGTCTGTCTGTCTGTCTGTCTGTCTGTCTGTCTGTCTATCTATCTATCTATCTATCTATCTATCTATCTATCTATCTATCTATCTATCTATCTATCTATCTATCTATCTATCTACAGTATCTATCTAATCCAAGCATCTCTTCATCAATCCATCTAACTTTTCATGGCCTTAAGGTTAAGGCAAGAAGTGTTTCTCCGGGAAATTCATTCCAGTGTTGGGTGACACAATCAAAAAGGCCTTCTCTCCATTTACCACCAAAACAAGCAGGGCTGGATCCACACTTAACTTGTATGTAGAGTCAACCCATGGCAGGCAAGGGTATGGCTAATGCAAAAGTAGATTTAATATTAATACTAATTTTAGAACTGTAAGCATTATATACAGTTTTATGTATACTGTAGTCTGTGCTGGGTGTGAACAGGTTTGCGTAAAGTCTGTGCTCAACAGCTTGAAGCTGTGTTCTAAGAAGCATGAAATGCTGTGCCATTATGTATATAAATTACATGAATTAAGTGGGTATGCATAGAATTCATCAGGGCAAAACTTCCTAGGTATACCTGTCCACCTGCACATAACATACATGCTGCTGTTCAGATATTGTGATGTGTTTGCTCAAGGATCTCATTAAAATAAGATCTTATTACTATGTGCAGTTCTCAGGGTGCCCAGTTTTAAACGTGATTGCTGCATTTTTGTAAGGCATACGTAGCATGCAGAGCATACGTAGCATGCATGAGAGATGCAGAATAATAATAGCACATACATTCAACAATCAACTATGTTTGCCTGGAATGGCCAAACTTGTGATAGCACTGCAATCTTTGTTTTAAATTTTTGCTACATGTACGGCATTACAAATTAAACCATATTGTTTCTATATGTAAAGCCCTAATCCCAGATCTTTCAGCCCTAGAGGAATAAAGTATTACTTACATTTTGTACTGATTCCAGTTGTGTGATGCAGTTCACAAATTTTTTTGGTCAACAAACTCTGAATGTTCAATTTGAAAATAATAATAACAAGGGCTTTTTCCAAACGCCGCATTGCTCAATTTACAGGAACCAAAAAACATCTCCTGAGCATTTTCGTTGCCACGTCTCTCAAAGTTGGGTTTTTTTCTTCCAGCATAAGAACATCAACCTTAAATTTCCCACCTCTCTGTTCTATATTATAATATTGTGCTATATTCTTGTCTGTTTTCTATTCCTAAATCTACAAATAACGCACCTAGTTCTAAATCAAATTGGGACCCAGATTTGCATGACGTGGTTCTTTTTTAAGGACATTTTTGGTATAACAGGAATCTAAGGGAAACTTCACGGTTTAGCTGAAAGAAAGATAAGAACATATAAAATGTTGTTTTTTAAAACAAGCCTGCAAAAGAATACTAAACCCAGAAGGGTCAAACCTGAGCTGTTTACATTTTGCTCTGTCCTGCCTGACAGCTCTGGAGATCCTATGCCATCTGTATCCATAAATACATCCCCCCAGCAATAGTTCATAGATGGGATGAGATGTTGAAGAGAGGTTTAATGCTCTAAGGGCTGTCACGTTGAAAAACTCCTGGCCAAGTCTCATGGGAAGTTCGACAAGAGCCTCAAAGTTTTGGAGACTTCAAAAGTTAAAGCTGTGAGTCATTTAACAAGCCTCTTAGGCTTTCAGATTTTGTGCTCCAACTGCGACTTGAGATAGTCAATTGTGTTTTAATGGCTGTCACGTTAGCAGAAGCCTAACCCAATGTTAGAATTGATGCTTTTGAATTGTGGTGCTGGAGGAGACTCTTGAGAGTCCGCTGGACTGCAAGGAGAACAAACCTATCCATACTGAAGGAAATCAACCCTGAGTGCTCACTGGAAGGACAGATCCTAAAGCTGAGGCTCCAATACTTTGGCCATCTCATGAGAAGAGAAGAGTCCATGTAAAAGACCCTGATGTTGGGAAAGTGTGAAGGCAAGAGGAGAAGGGGATGAAAGAGGACGAGATGGTTGGACAGTGTCATTGAAGCTACCAACATGAATTTGACCCAACTCCGGAAGGCAGTGGAAGACAGGAGGGCCTGGCATGCTCTGGTCCATGGGGTCACGAAGAGTCGGACACGACGTAACGACTAAACAACAACAACCCAATGTAACTCCTTTACCAGCTGGGTGGTTTTAACAGGGCTTGGGATGCTAATACCCAAAAACAAAACTTACAGTGGTGCCCCGCTTAACGATTACCCTGCTCCACGACAAAATCACTTCACGACAATGTTTTTACAATCGCTTTTGCGATCGCAAAACAATGTTTAAATAGGAAAAAACCGCTTAACGACAATCAGAAAACAGCTGATCGTCGGGTTTCAAAATGGCCCCCTGCTGTGTTAAGGACAGATTCCTCGCATTACAGGCACCAGAAAATGGCCGCCCTAGGGAGGATCTTCGCTGGACGGTGAGGTATTTCGCCCATTAGAACGCATTAACCGTTTTTTAATGCATTCTAATGGTTTTTTTTTATTTTCACTTGACAATGATTTCATTGTACAGCGATTTTGCTGGAACGGATTATCATCGTCAAGCGAGGCACCACTGCATTTGTTTGCATGATTTCTTATTTATTTAATTTCCACCTGGCCTTCCTCCCAGTAGAGATAACAAGTTCCATTCATGAAATTCATTACACTTTTAATAATGAAGTTTTAATATACAGCAGGACACCCATATCTGTGGGGGGATTGGTTCCAAGCCCCCTTGCAGATGCTGAAAACTGCATATAATGACAAATGCTATGCATAACATGGTAAAAACAAAAAATCCAGAAAAAAAGTATTTTCTCCGTGTGTCACCAGAACTGGTCACTAGAGGGAGATAGAGACCATACTATGTATAACCTGACACTCACCATGGAAATGCAGGTGGCATCGGTAGTCTGTACCGCCTTCTTCCACCTCTGGCAGATCACCTGGCTGTGGTCCTATCTCGACACGGGGGCACTCATTACCTTGGTGCATGCGCTCATAATCTCAAGATTAGACCACTGTACCGTGCTTTACGTGGGGCTGCCTTTGAGGCTGATGTGGAAAATTCAGGTAGTGCAGAATGCAGCGGCCAGACTCCTTACTGGAGTGAAAAAACACCAACATATTTCTCCTGTTCTGGCCAAGCTGCACTGGCTGCCCATCCGTTTCCGCATTGACTTCAAAGTTCTAATGCTTACTTATAAGGCCCTAAATGGTTTAGGACCTTGATACTTCGTGGAGTGCCTGCTCCCACCAAAATCTACTCGGATCACCCGCACGAGTCAGGAGGTGAGGCTGAGGAGCCTTGGTGGGAAGGTCACGGCGTTCTGTGGCTAGTCGCGCTGGCCACGTGACCACGGAAACTATGGACAAATGCTGCCTCTACGCCTTGGAAACGGGGATGAGCCCCACCCGCTAGAGTTGGACATGACTGGACTAAAGGTTCCTTCCCATCATGATGGTACCTATTTATCTACTCGCATTTTTACATGCTTTCGAGTGGCTCCTACGTCTTCTCTGCGGTGACCTTCTGTCTGAGCAGTTTATGTAGTGCTCACTTCATATCTTCATTCCTCAGTGTGTAGATGATGGGGTTGAGCAGTGGGGTTATAGCGGTGAAGAAGACAGACACCACCTTGTCTTCGGAGAAGCTGGTGGAAGGGCGGGAATAAATGAAGATGCAGTGGCCCAAGAAGAGAGTCATGACTGTGAGATGGGCCGCACATGTCGAGAGTGCCTTGCGCCGGCCTTCTGCAAAGCGGTTGCGGAGGGAGACCAGTATGACACCGTAAGAGACCACCAGAACCACGAAACAGACTATGGAAATGAGTCCTGAGTTGGAAACAATAAGGATCTCGATGACGTAAGTATTGGTGCATGCCAGCTTGATGATTGGCGGGACATCGCAGAAGAAGTTGTCCACCTCCCGAGGGCCGCAGTAGGGTAGGTTGATGGTCATGCCAATCAAGGCGAGGGAGTGCACTGTCCCTCCCAGCCAGATTGTGCCAGCCAATAGCAAACAGACCTTGTGGTTCATGACAGTGAGGTAATGCATTGGGTTGCAGATGGCCACGTAGCGATCGTAGGCCATCACAGTGAGGAGGAAGATCTCTGTGCAGGCAAAGAGGTGGAGGAAGAACATCTGGGTCACGCAACCTTCAAAAGAGATGGTCTTTACCGTCATCAAGAAGTCAGCCAGCATCTTAGGCACAGTGACTGTGGAGTGGCAGATGTCAATGAAAGACAGGTTGCTCAAGAAGAAGTACATGGGTGTGTGAAGACCTCGGTCATGCAAAATGGTGATCATGATGATGCCATTGCCCACCAAGATCAACAGGTAAACCACCAAGAAGATGACAAAGAGCACCAGCTGTGTCCTGGGGTTGCTGGAGAGGCCGACCAGTATGAACTCCGTCACCAACGTCTGGTTTTGTGCTGGCATTGTCCAGTTTGCAGCCACTCTTTTGTCCATTTCTATTCTAGAGAAAAACAAGGAAAAGGCAGCAGAACGTTTAATAGCTTCATTGGATGATACCAATGAGAACCTTCAGGCCGATACTTTGAAACAATCATGGGAAATTTGCATTCCAAATAAAATAAACATGAAGTAATTCTCAAATGCTCAACTGCTGGAGGAGACTCTTGAGAGTCGCCTGGACTGCAAGGAGAACAAACATCCGTTCTGAAGGAAATCAACCCTGAGTGCTCACTGGAAGGGCAGATCCTGAAGCTGAGGCTCCAGTACTTCGGCCATCTCATGAGGAGAGGAGACTCCCTGGAAAAGACCCTGAAGTTGGGAAAGGGCGAAGGCAAGAGGAGAAGGGGACGACAAAGGATGAGATGGATGGAAAGGGTCATCAAAGCTACCAACATGAATGTGACCCAACTCCGGGAGGCAGTGGAAGAGAGGAGGGCCTGGCCTGCTCTGGTCCATGGGGTCACGAAGAGTCGGACACGAATTAACGACTAAACAACAACAACAAAAATCTCAAATATCATAGAATTGTTGTAGGGTTGGAAGGGACATGGGAGGTCTTCTAGTACAAATCCCTGCCCAAGGCAGGAGACCTCCCACCATCCGAGATCTCCTATCATCTGGGACAGAGGCTGTCCAATCATTTATTGAAAACTTCCAGCGATGGGTCGCCCACCATATCGGGCGGCCAGCTTTTCCACTGCTTCATGGTTCTCACCCTCAGGAAATTCCTCCTTATTTTCAGGTTGGATCTCCCTCTGACGAGTTTCCACAAATATTATATGAAGAAATACTTCATCACCTATCTGTTGTAAACCGCCCAGAGTGGCCGTGGCTGTCAGATGGGCAGTATATAAATCAAATTGATGATGATGATGATGATGATGATGATGATGATGATGATGATGATGATGATAATAA